CGGAGAAGGTTACATTAACCTGTGATGTCTTCCTTTTGAATTTAAGAGTTAATAACAGACTATTGTAAGCAGTCCAGTACTATTGTGATTGTAATTCCAGCTGGGTTAATTACACAATAATTAGGTACAAACATCGCAACACAAAACACAGCTACATCATTATTTGCAACAAATGCTAACTCTAAATAAGTGCAACCTGTCCCACAAACACTTGCTATAAACGACTTAAAAATAAAATTTGATGGGGTAAACACAGAAAAAAAAAAAAAAAAAATTCTCTGGGAGAATTTTTTTTGTTAAAAAATAAAAATAAATAAAATCTCAGCACTCATTTAGAGTTCGGGATCTTGTGAAAGAAAGCTTTAAAAGGAGCAAACCTGATTTGCTGTGGCTGTTGCGGCGAAGGGAACACTTGTTGCAGGAGTTGTTGCTGCAGAGACAGTGGCGGCCGTAGCGTTGTGCATCATGGGTACTTTCAGGAGGGGAACCATGGAAGCAATGAACAGGAGGGTGCAGCATTATGGTAAGAGAAGTGGTATTTTTGGCATGGTGAATATCAAGAGCGGCAAGCCATCGTCATGGGTTAAACCAGCAGATGGCATGCAATCACAGTGCAAAGCGAGAAAGCGTGGCGGAGAAATAAAAAACAAAAAAAGGGAAAATAGCTTATTACAAGTACAATTAAAGGAAGGTTGTCAACACGATCGGCGATTCCCAGAAAAAAGAGCAAGGACCACTGCAAATGCGGGTGTTATCTCTAAGAACAGGTCTCTACCAAAACAACCCGTTACCTGAGAACTGGTACACAATTATTTTTTTTTTTTCCCCTCAGGATTGCTGCAAAGCACTCCAAAATAAAAGTCTACTGACAATAACCTACAGTCTTTTGAACTGGGGAAGGAAAATGGTAACTGCTTATTTTAATTTTTAAACAGAATTAAAAACAAGTTATTATCGTGCATCTTCATTTTGAAGTAAGCCAGATCCTCGTCTTCCTATATAATCCAATTTGTGTGGTTATTTTTTTTCTTCTAGCACTGCATGACTGCTAGACTTTATCAGAGTTAAACTGCCATCTGCTTCGAGGCAAAAATCAGAAGAAGGATGATAACCATTTTCCTGATTTAAATACTACTTTGTTTGGTCTAAAAAAGCAAGATCAATTTTGTGAAAGCTGCTGCTTTTGCTCATTTTAAGAATGAATGTTACTCAGCACCCTTGTGAGAGAATACTAACCTTACCTTTTGAAAGCTTTTAACTGCTTATCTGAGCAGCCTCCCCTGTCACAAAAAGGAAATCACTGGAATGAAGCTACAGAATAGGAGAAATATCCCATCTTAGAGTCAGCTACATTGGACTTCAATTTGGCATGCCCAAAATGTTCATTCCAAGATGTAAACATATTTAAAGGAGGAGTGAGATTTATATCACGGGTTTCAACTAAGCTTTTGTGGATCAAAGTACACATTTCTGGGAAGCGCTGATAAAACTTTCTAACACACAGCAAAAAGGAGAAATAGGCACACCACTATGAAACTTTAAAACACTGATGAAACTCGCTGGCTTTTCCAGTATTTTATGATTTTATAGTACTAGACAATATAAATATAAAGGGAAATAAAACTTTGAAAACTGAAAAGCAGACTGGAATTCATGATATTATGCTTTTGCAGTATAGTTGTTATAGCAGGTGACATCACATCTGAGCTGCAGCTTTCGTCTACAAATCTAAATACTGTGCAAAGTCAACCAGAAGGACAAGTGAGCCTTTAGTTCTAGTCATTGCCTACATCTCACCTACGAGTTTTGAAACAAGTGAATATACATCATATACAGTATAAAAGAGATCAATAAAGAAATTTGGAACCTACCAATACTGGTAGCGGGTGTCATGCACAAAACTGACCCTGCGTGTCATGCAATGATAGGTGAAAAAAGTGGATAAAGGGAAGAAACAGGTTAGCTGTTTAGAGTTAACATTCAAAGTGAGATTCAAGCATAACCACAGATAAGTTAGTTAAATGAAAGTTTAAGGTCATTCATAGTTTTGCTTTAATGCTAAAGATGTGATTAGGCTCATATTAAATTCCTACAGTAGTATGTGACTTTTGGTGTGTTTCTGTGTACACAAATCTGCAGCAACAGGTTTTTGTTTACAGAAACATCTTAAACTAAATATCACATTATTTTGCAATTTTAGAGCTTACTGCACGATTTGGACAGCTTAATGCTGAGCAGATGAATGTTCACCAAAAAAGCTAAAATGGAAGTATCCAAAACTACTCTGCAGGGGCGTTGTCAAATTGATGCTTAATATTAACCTACGCATTTTTAATGCAAAGCATGAAGCAGGGAGGTGTTTCTGAAGAAAAAAAAGACCAGTGGCACAACCCCCAAGCTAAACATCTAAAAGAGTGCAACCTCAGCAGAAAAAAGGCTGCTGGTTCTTGGTGCTGAATGGCTTTAGTCTTTCCGAGAAGACCAGAAAAAAAAACCAAAAAACAAACAACAAAGCAATGTGCTTTTGACACAGAGCATAAAGCAAGCTGGTGAAGGTGAGGAGGCAGGAAGACTGGTACCACACACACACATATTTGATACCAAATCAAATATGCTTCCTATATTCCTGCTTACCGCTGTCCCAGCAGCAGTGTAACTATGAATGACCTTACGGAAGAACAACCCTGGAAAATACACACAGTTCCTAGGCTAGCGGCCATAAAAATGGTAACGAACAGCAATGAGAGGAGAGAAAAGATCTGTTGTTCTTGAGATCATTCACCAAACAGGAAGGAGAGGTGACGAAGCAATCAAACTGATGGAAAACACGTGAGGTGCAAAAATCTGGAAATGAGCCATGCTAAGTGAAGCCCCACACTTGTCATTATGGGAGCAAGTGGTTAAGAAAGCAGAGAGGTTATATAAAACAATTAAGTTTTATATATATTCCAGCAGCAAAACTTGTCTTAAAATTTAACTTTTATAGCACGCTCACAAATACACACACACACACATTTGAAAATTATACCAGTTCAGAAAATATCACATCATCCTTTTAAATCCCTTAGATAATGTCATGCGTTGTTCCTCAGGGCTGGGTGACGTGACAGGCCTCACACCTACCGGATCCAACCTTCTCTGGGACCTCCCAGGAAATGTGGGACTATCAGAGGAACCATCTTTAACAAAACTCGCGTTACATCCACTCGTATAGAGTGGTTCTCCCTTTCTAGCCCTCTTCCATATCCCATTCATCTCTAATATCCTTGTTAGGTGCTGATGGCATTCACAAAGCAGGAGGTTCAGCACCTTGAGAAAGGCTTTCCACCATGGGCATTCACCTGTGTTATCCCCCTCTCTATTCTTTTTTTTTGTGCACTTGCTTTGGATTTGCCAACAATCTGACTTTTAGGGCTTAGTTCCAAGAGCCACTCTCTCTACCATCTGAAATTTATAAGACAAAACTGCAACCATAACCACCAGTTGGAAAGAGGGATGGACAATAAATGCTACAAAGAATGAACTACTTCAAGAAACGTGATTACTCCAAAGTCTGGAAAATTCCAAGTGCAGTTTCACTGGAAAAGGTTTAAGCTGCTCTTATTTTCTAGAGTTAATTTAAAGTCTATGGCAGTTGCTTACAGCAGTGATAAGCCCCAAAAGGGAGTGCTTAAGAGAAGGAATAATGCAAATCATAGTGCAAATTGTTAGGATTATGACACACAATAAATTCGTGGAGATTTCTGTACACTGGTAAGCACAGGGTGGTCTTCCATTCATATCCATATATGCAATCTCACTGTTTTTTTCAGACACTCCCATAAATGTTGGAGTGTTTTCTGACACAGATATTCTAGTGCAAGAATGTGCTAAAAATACAGCATTCTATAACTTGCTGTTATCAACATAGGGGCAGGCTCCAAGGTTGTTACTCAGGCCTTATAGCAAAATCACATGAAGTCAATGCCATCTGTGTTTATTTTTATCTTTAAAGACATATGGGGATGCTGATAGATCGGGCAATTCTTGCATGTTGTGTCTCATCCCCCGCTATAACCAGCATTATTTCCTACAAACAAAAATAATATAGCTGAAATGTCAAGTGTGTTTGCAAACAAGAAGTTTTAAAGGATTCTGGATGTTCACCCTTGATAATGTTCTGATACCAGAACGTGCCACTTGTCAGTCACAGACCAAAACACTTCACTCCTTAGAGAGGAAGTTCACCAGCAGAAAGTTTGGAGTGAGGGTGTCTGATGTAATTTAAAGGATCCTGGCGTTATTGTCTGTGCAAATACCATGTGCTCCTTCTTTCATTGTGTTAGAAAGGAGTCCCAGCACCAGTCCTGTGGCACAGCTTGAGCTCTGGATGACTGGATCTCCCAGGCTTCTGTGCAGACGCACAGAGCACATCCCCTAACCTTTGGCTCACCTGGATGGCTCAGCCCCAGCTCTTAGCTGCAAATGCTAGGAAAAGCACTGGTTGTGTGCCAAAAGGAAAGACACAAAAACCAATCTGATGCCTATAAGCACCTTTCGTGTCAAGGTGGGGATCAATTTGTTGTGGGGATGCTTCTGTGCAGGTATAAGCAGAAGGCTCATGTTGGTGCATTGTTGCAGAGCAGCAACAGAGAGGCCACGAAGGGACACCCCGGCATCTTCAAAGCCGTACACCCTTCCCAGACTTTTCCTAGCAGTGTTTTGCCCTCTCATTCCCTAGGAAAGCTCCAGCAGGTAAAGTCAAAATACAGCCAGTTCAATGTAGGAAAAAAGGGCAAACTGTGGGTGATAATGGAGGCTATGAAAATGACAAGCAGTCTAATGGCGTGTTGAAGTTTCAGCCTGACCCCTTGCACTTTGCAGAAAGAATTAAATCGGCATGGAAATATCTGTGCAGGCCTCATCTCAAGCAGGGCAGGGAGCGTAACCCTTTGGTAAGCACAACTGCTTAATTCAGAGGCTACTTAGAGCAAAGAGGGTTCGGTGTGGGTGTGACATACCTGTCGGGATGAACGCCGCATGTTGCTGCAACTGAGCATTGGCAAGAGCCTGTTGATAGTGCAAGACACTGGGATTGAAAACGGCACTGGCACCATTGCTTTTTTCAAGTGCTTGTCTCTTTGGTAAAGGGTGAAGAACACCGGGAGGAAAGGCCTGTGAATAAGAGAGTTAGTTAAAAGGCAGTAATTTTTAAGGCGTTGTCTGCAACATATACAAAAATACAAAAACTTATTATTTTTAAAGCGGCTAAAGATGCCTCGCCATGCATATTAACTCAAAGCACAGCAATGTAAAATGAGTGAAATTTTGTTATTGATAGCAAAAGCATGGTACTATTAACCTAAAACTGTAGCAGCACAACTACTGAAAAGAAAGGCCTTTAAAGCAACGAAAATGGCATTTCCTTTAAAGAGGTTTTCAGATATCATAGGGAGAAAAAACCACTTGTGTTTCATTGCCAAGTATGGGTTGTTTTTTTTTTAAAATTGAAATACTGTTTCCTATTATTATACAGATTAATGGATTATGTTAAGCGTTTTCAATTACAAAAGCAGTTTTATCTCAATTCGACTTTTCATGAGAAGGTATTTAAAAATGAAACCGTGTTAGGAACCAAACTAAATTGTCTGCATTTATTACGTATGAGAATGAGATGGATAAATACGGTACTGAGTTTCCGGTAAATTAAGAGTATGTGAAATCATTTCCGGTTGATGTTTAAAAAGAAAGCAATACAAATTTCATTAGTTGCTTCTCCGAAAAGCTACATGCAAAGCAAAAGGTGAAAGGTCAAAGTACCAGGTCTACAGTTGCTTCGAGAGGTCGCTTCATTGCTTTGGCAGTCGACTGAGTCTTTTAATAACAGGCAGCGAGCACATGATGGCAGTGGGCCAATGGGATTCAAGCGAATTAACATACAGGTAAACAGCAAGCAGAGGTGCATCATGGGAACGGCATTGCATTGTGGATAGGTGAGAAGGAAAAAAATATTCTGAATGCAATATACAACATACAAAACACTAGGCATGCACAACAACAAAAATGTCTTCTAAAGAAATGAATATTACATTTCGAATTAGTACTGAAGCAAAAATGCATCTACTATACCTTAGTTAAAAGCATATAAGAGAGTAAAATATAGATGTTTGAAATTCAGGAAAGTTGAGTAAAACAGCAGCTTGCAGACACTATTAAGCATTTTATCAACACTTCACAGAGATGCGGAAAGTTTTAAGGATACTCCTACAAGAATTTCTGATAAGTTAGCCAAACCAAATTCCCAAGTGCACAATTAAATTTGGAATGCTGCACGTCCAAATAAAAAGCACTATGAAAGTTGTAATGCATCACAAACATTCCGAATATTTGTGCTTGCAAGGAGAGGGGCTTAGGCTACAGAAGTGCGTAATCCAACAGATTTGGGGTTCCAAATGAGAGAGGTTCTCCTTTCCCTTTAAGCACTGGAACAGGCTCCCCAGGGAGGTGGCTGAGTCACCATCCCCGAATGTGTTTAAAACCGTTTGGATGTGGTGCTCAAGGACATGATTTAGCAGAGGGCTGTTAGAGTTGGGGTAGTATGGTTGGGTTGTGGTTGGACTCGATGATCTTTAAGGTCTTCTCCAACCTGAGCAATTCCATGATTCTATGATTCTATTCCCAGTGCACAATAAATAATTTGTCCCATTACACTAACTTATCATCAATTCCTTATAGTTTTCCCTAAAGGTGGGTCATTTTTGTAATTTTTTTCCCTTGCGACTTACCACATTACATTGAGAGGAAAAAAACACAACAGCCTTTCAGAATTTGAAACACGTTTTCTAAATTTCACTACACCTTATAGTACCATCTTTGGGAGCACGGAGTAAAAATACTGCTCCTAGCAGTATTAAACATTGAAATATGACTTATAATACTGGTTTAGCATTACAAAATTTTTTTAAAGAAAGTATGTAGGCATAGTACATAGACATAGATATTGTTGAATATTTTCACTGTAAGACTAAACCTGTGATTGATATGATATTCTTTAAAAAAAATTGCATATTTCTTTCAAATTTTGTACTGTAAATTATTCTTACAAACCTTTAGACAGCAAGGATGATTTAGTCATAAATCAGAATTTTCCCCTTTTTTTCAAAGCATTTGCTGATATTTAACTTTTTTTCAGGATATGCAGACAATGTCTCTCTTGACATCAGTATGTGGAAATAGGGAACAAAAGTCTAAAAAGGAGGACAAGGCACAAAATGCCTACAAACACCTTATAGTCATGGTATTAGCTAACACCAACAGGATATCTTGCAGGACAGCCTTTGCTGTCCTTGTTCCCAGTCCTGTTGCAGCTACATTGCATGAGGCTTCCCAGCATCCTCCCCATCTATCCTGCAGCACACTTCTGGATTATTTTCCCTGACATACAGTATCTGCTCATCTGTCTGGGGCAAGACTCAGCTATAACAAGAAACACCTGGTGCAGTGTGAGGATGTGGATAGCCTTCCTGCACTCACACAGAGTGCTGCGCAGCTGATGTGTGGTACCTTGGCTAAGCTAACAGAACCTCAGACCCTCTGCATCCTCTACTGATGGAAGTCTACACACAGGTTAAGTGTTACAACTGAATTCAGTATGATGTGATAAAGAAGCCCATAAATTCAAACCAACATCAATAGAGTAAAGCATTTCGGTTAATTACCTCTATAATTCAATACCTGTATTATTTGTCCTCACTTGTTATCTCTGTGTTGACTGCCTTTCTCCACCTCCTCTCTATGGTCTTCTGACCCTTACCTCCCTACTTGGAAGCGTTTGCTGACTTTCGTTTTGCCTTCTAGACAAAGTTTAACCCACAGGAACTAAATTGATCTGTTTCTGAGATCTGAGATCTGAGTAAATGCTCCTGATCATTAATGTATGAAAATACAGGCAGGGCATTTTCTGGTTCCCACATGATAGTCTTCACTGACCTTCAATGGCCCTACAAGGTCTAAGTACAATGTTTACTACAATACAGTGTCTACTACAATAAAGTCGACGACACTTGCCTAGAAAAAGCCCTCTGGGCCAAAGCAATGCAGACATTTCCCTCCTTACAATTCAACCTGGCAACAACCTCTAAGTGAGCCTTACAGATAAGTGTTTGTGTTTCTGCTTTACTTTTGATCTCTAGATCCAACTGTGCATTCTTGTTCATTCTTGGGTAGCTTGCGGGTGTGCATCTTTTCTAGCACTATTTTGTCATTGTCATTCTGATGATTTTTCATTCACTTTATCTTATTCTTTCAAATCTACATTGAATAAAAAATAATGGGATTGAAAATAATCTCTTCTGTTTGACAGCCTAAGTATTAAATGAAAGTACTTTCCATATTTTTCTGTTAAAACTTACCTAGAATTATAGGTCCCTGACTTCTTCCCTTGCGACATTAGAATTTCAATTCTGTATTCCCAAGGATTCTTCATCTCACTTTGAGGCTAACATGGTTTATTTAAAATGTCAGGATATATGCCCCATCACTACTGAAGTGCAAAAAAACGCATTACAATTTTTCTTCTGTTAGAGGTTTATTTAGTTGCATAACTTACCCTTTGTTCCTTGAAAAGTCTGCTCTTTGCTAATTTGCTAAATACAATAGCCTGGGGTAGTTATATACTGTACTGTATTGTGGTTCTGCTAGGCTCCTTACTCAAATAATAACTATATTGTCTATAACTATTGTATGCACTGCCCACAAGTCCACAAACTGCATCTGCTTAATTATTCATCCAGTGCCAGCAATGAGGACAACGATTCTTTGATTTTTCTGCCAGCAATTTTGTCTCCCAAGTCAAATCCTGCACGCTTGATTTCTTTAACTTCATCAATACCACTTATTTAAATTTAACAACTTTCCTAGTAGCAACCATAAGAGATAACCAGTATTGGTAAATGGATGGGCTGCCTTGTTCGAACAACTTTCAAATTTCTGAAAATAGAAATTCTGACTACACTTACTCTGCTTTTTCTTGATTATTCCCATTTTAGTTCATTACTTTTAAACCCTATTATGCCAAAAGAAAAAAAATGGTAGCATAGAGATTGAATGAACTTGCCCTGTCAGTAGGAGATGAAAGAAAGGCTTATTAGTGTGAGACTTATCAGCCTTAGCCAAAATTCAAGAATATACAGTCAGCATTTCTTAGGCAGTGAGAAAAACTAACTATCTCCAGAGAATAATTCTTCCTCCCCCTCAGACAGGCACCGGTGTAGTGGATCAGATAAACAGTGTAGATGAACATGCTAGGTTTTCTCCACTGCCCATAGAGTGAAACCAAGGTGGCTGGTTAGTCTCTATTTAACTCAAGGGCATCTAAAGCAGGGTGAACTGAATCTTAACACATTTCTCTTCTAATACTAAACTGAAGAAAACCCACCTCCTTTGCTTTTCTTCCTTTTCTTCCATATTTCCACATGCCTAACTGTTGTCAGAGAGCTAAACCAGCATATCGACCCCTATTTTCCAGGGGACACTGAACAGTTTTATTTCTGTTTGGAAATACTAGGGGCAAATTTAACACATAATCAAGGCAGAGAACAGAAGTGGTATAGAGTGTCATTTGCTTCACTGTCTTGGATAGAAATACAGCATTAAAATAAGAGAATAAAGAAAAAGAGTGCTTCCTCCCATCAAGCAATAGTAGTAATTTTAAAAATTCTTATCTTTAACCAAAAAAAAAAAAAAAAGCAAAAGGGAAAATAAAGTATAAGCAAATAGCATTACATTGAAGCAAAATAGGCATCAAAGAGCTTCTGTCAAGAAAAGCAGCCATATATGCCAGCACTTACCATCACAGTCGCAGCTGCCGCAGCTGCCTGGGCTGCCACTGCAGCCTGGTTAGCTTGATGTTGCGCCGCTTTGATTTTGGCCTGCAAATGTGCAGGAGGGTGAAAATACTTGCATTTCTCCCTCATGCAACGACCTTTTATGTAATCCATACACACGGTTACGGTGTTGTCGTTTGTGTCAATCATTGTGCTGTCTGCCGGATGTGCAAAGCGGCAATCAGTCTCTCCACGTGCACAGTTTCCCCTCTGGAACTCCCTGCACACCTACATGCAAAACAACACTGGTTGCAACCCGAAAAGGCAGGGAGAGCCCATGCCTCCCAAGATGGATCTTCCCCCTCCCCCAGTTAGCTCAGCGAATCCAACTTAATGAACTCGCTATCTTCTTCTGGGAGAGGGAAAATGAATCTATTTTACCAGTCCATGGGTAGCTCTGTGGTATGGTGGCTAAATGGACATGAAACAGAAACATTTCAAAACGTCCTTCCCTTTTCATACCTAGAAAACAACTGGGAAGGATTCTTACTGAAGTAACTGCCCCTGCAAAACTAGTTGAGACTTACAATGCTCAGTCCCTCTCAACTGTATTCTAAGTTCTTGCAACTTCACCAGAAGGGAAGGTGCTCCTCTTGTTGATACTCAAGGAAGATACAAAGAACTGTATAGAGTCTTAAAGCAAAACGGAGAGCCTCCAAAAAACAGTTTTAAAAAATGGACAGGATCAATAAGCTGAATTTATTAAGGAGCAATGTGCTCTAGATATTGGGCTTTGGGGAAAGGGCGCTCATTTCTGTAAGCAGCATTTGGCCTTCTTATGTGCTTGGACCATACATTCCACCAAGTGGTGAAATTGCTTTTGGGGCCATGTGGGGATCCACCAACTCCACAGAGGGTCTACACATAACTGGGGGCTTTCCTGCCCAGTCTGCTCTGAGGTGTGTGACATGCAACTCCTTTACTGGAAGCTGAAGGCTGAAGGCCTGTAAAATTACCCTAATACTGATTAATTAAAATCAGGAGAGAATTAACACTGCAATAAAAATGTGCTTGTTAGATATTTCACCAAAGCATTCCCTTACAGGCATGTAAACCCGAGGAACATTTGAAGAGACAAGGAAAGATGAAACTTCATGCTGATTTCTATGTATTAAACTTGAGTAAACTACCTTCAAAATAAGTGTTTAATTACTACTGGCATTCTGTCTAATTATGATGCCTGTACTTTTAGCAACTATATTTTAAGCACAGTTTCTAAAATAATGGAGTCTTTCCTCCAGGAGCTTTCCTACAGCGTATCAGAGAACTGCATTTCTAGTCATGGTTGTTTCTTACAGTACCTCCAGCTTATCAGTCCTGAGGAGTTTCTGAGTAGCAGTAGAACCAGGGACTGAAACCGGTGGGCTTCCAGGAACAATGACGGGTGGCGTGGGCAGGATCTCAGTCGGGACTAAGCCAACTCCTGGTGTTACTGGCGTTAGGTAAGGAGCAAAGCTAATAGCCGTGTTCGTTCCTATTGTGGGACCCACTGGAAATGTGGGCTGCAAAATGAAAACACAGACCAAGATGAAAAAAATCTTAATCAAGTGCTTATTAGATGTCTTTTGCATCTTCTCCCTGATGCCAATTTGTTTTCTTCAAATCAAAAACTTTCAAGCAGCTGGCAAAATACAGAGCGTATTCTCTTCTTTTAATCATGTAACACATTCCAGCTGTATACTAGGAACCACACACTTTGTAGCTCTGCTATTGCAAAAGAGGCTGCCAATGCAAAGGGAATCCTGCTGTGAACCTGAATCTCTACGGAGGTCTAGCTTATACTGCAGATTTATTTACACATCTAAAGGTAGAAATAACATAGATTTTATTGCTTTTTCTCAATACCTGCATTCCTTTGGAGAACAGGCTATTTTTCAAAGTACCAGATTTCATAGGTGAAGCATTATTAACAATATTAAAGCCATATTTCTAATAAGACTATAACTAATGAGCTCTTTGGCTCGACTTCCATCTGTTTGCATGCTATATTTTGCCACCTCCTGCAATTATATGTTGCTATAACTCACACATCGGAAAGCCTCACCTTTCAGAATGTTTGTGTGCCCAGCTGTCACCAGTGGCAAGCAGAATAAATATTATAATCTCCAATGGACATAATATTTAGAAAAGGATTACTCGGGCTTAGGTTGAGTTCATCTTACAAAAAAGGTCGATTGAAAGAAATGATATGGTTTTAAAAATCTGTTTCATACCTTCCTAGAAAAAGTCAGTGAAGTCATGACCAGAAGAAAGAGCACTTGTGTGATGCTAAAATCGAGCCCTACCACAGTAGAATAGTGGTTTTGTTATTACCAGCTCCAGTGGGGATGGAAGCAGAACATAGCCATGGTCTGACCACGGTCATAACTGGAACTGGAAAGTGATTTAGTTCTGCAGGGCTGATGTTTACTCCAGAGTGAAGCTATAATTATAAATAATTATGATTATAAATGAAAAATTAAGAAAAAACAGGACAATTCTGAGATTAGCTCTGTCACAAATTAAGTTCTTGAATAAGACAGCTGCAAGAAATGAACCCTGCAATAACAGAACACCGTAAAAAACCTTACTGAGATTTAAAAATGGTTAATGAAAAAGGAAATTCTTTCTCATTGAGGTGACTTGCATGGCCTGTGTTGGAGAAGAGAAGCTATCAAGAAACACTGTATGGAAAATCAATAAGAGAAGCCAAGAAGCTGTGTTTATTTTCAGTGGGTTTTTTGTTTGTTCCTCTCCCCCTTTTCCTTCTGTTCTTTTTTTTTTAGGTGTTTAGAATTAATTACTAAATTATAGTCAAGTTTGACTTAGTACCAGTAAGATGCTTAAGGCAGCACAGTAGCCAGGATACCCAACTGTATGGAAACAGCATCTATGTAGGTTGCTCCAACTCTAATGCCTCCTATTTCTTTCCACGGCAACAACAGCAGATACAAAGAGCATAATAACATTGTTTGATAGAGCAAATTCTCAGCTACAAAACACTCTTTTTCAACACAGTCACTACAACTAGCTGCGCATTTTCACCAGCAATGAACAAGAGCCTTCATGCCATACTTGTCAAAACCTGCACCAGTGGAGGTGACCCACTGTTGCCTCTGCTGAAATGCATCACCCACCACCTCACTGTGCTCACATCCGCTGATCGGTCTCTGGAAACATTCACAAAACGCCAACAAAGTAAGTCAGTGAGTGTCATTTTTTTCCACATGGAGGAATTCACTGACATCCCTTTCCTTCATATGCACTTCCATGTCAGATGCCATTCTGTCAGACTGTCTCTCTGCTGCCATCTGTCACATCACAACAAAATATAATGGGATACTGGGGGGAAGGTTTAAACTCTACTGCCATACTGCCCCAAACCATCTGCCTCAGACATCTTGGACCAACAGAATAAAACAGGAGGCATTACTTTTAAAGATGCCCTTGTGTTTGACCTGCAGGGTTACAAGTGAATAATGCTCTGGGTTTTTTTTCAGACCAAAACTGCTCAATATCAAATACCACTGTCTATATGCCAAGTGTGAACTAAATTCTTTACAGCATAGTAATGAAGATATATATGAAAAAACATTTCAACTATTTAGTGGACAACGTGTATCATGTTTAATATAAATACCATCTTTGTATTCAGATACGATTTTAAGAATAAATCTACATGTCAAATGACTCGTATGGAGTTTTCTTCTACTTTTTATCCATTTGGTCAAGGCTGAGTCATCTTCATTTGGCAATTTACGTGAGACTGAAAAATAAAACTCCCAACTTTTATCACAGCCATCAGTACAGAAGGCATTATGTCAATGAAAATGTAAAGTTCAAGTGATGAAATGAGTGAGCAGAAAAAAGCATGATTTTGCCACTTCAATTTTCCATTATAATACAAGAAGTGGAATCATTTTATTATTTCATGAAAAAAAAAAATGCTGAAAACTTAAGCAGTATAAAATCAGGAAATAGCAAAACACATTCTGACAAAATACCCAGATACATCTCACACGCATGCTGAAAGCTGATAAACATGTACTGAGACTCAGGGACTCCTAACCCCCAGTTTTTGCACATGCTCTCTACCTTACAGCAGATACTTCAAGTGTAAAATCACTTTTGGAAAATTGATCTGGAGTGAGCTATGTGGTCAAATACAGATTCTTCATCTGAGATGTTTATAGTTATCCCCTTTGACAGTCCATGGAAAGACAACAGCAATTAGAAGAAACAAAACCATATAATCCGAATACCAATTTCTGAAACAAGCCAAGCAAATGGTAATTAAAAGTGCCTATTCCTTTTGGTAAACTATAAGTGGACCTAGGAAGCCCAGTGTGGAAGATGATGCCAATGTTCCAGATGCCTCAAGTTAGGGGAATTAATCTCACTCCTGTGCCTTACATAGGTGTTTCAACTGAGAAAACATCATTAGCTACCAAATGTCTTTTTCAGATTACTTGCCTAGCTATGTTTTGCAAGTCTGGTACAACAAGGAGCTGAACTGCAAAGGCAGCCCAGAGCATCTGATCATTCTCATATATATCCCAAAGACACTGCTCTGCTCTGACTCTGATTTTATGTCACCTTCTGGATTTCAAGTGTGTTAACTGAAGATAAAATGCTGAGTTTGCAAGTAGACACATCATCAACTCTCTGCCTGTGTTATTCTGAGACACTTCAGATTTCAGGAGAGAAAGAAATCACTACCCAGAATAACATCACTTTTTTTTTTCCACAGGACTAAATATTGTTTGAAGCCACTCAAATTCACAGACTGCTGAGAGGGGAACTTTGTAGTCCTACTTAAATAACTAAGAAATTATTATGCAGCTTTTTGCCTCCAGAAGTAACATGGGTAAAACCCTTGTGAATCTAGACAAAACTTAACAAGAACTGAATGGGGAAAAAAAAAGAAGAAAGAGGGGGAAAAAAAAGCGAGTCTGGGATAAAAAAGAAATATCAAATCTCCAGCAACACTCTTTCATCTTTTACAATGCAAATATAGAAAAAGGCATTTCTAGCACCTCAGTAGGGTTCCCTAAGTCAACAGATGAGGTTTATTTTTATTAAGACTACTTTAGAAACCTTTTGCACTTCAATATAGTCTTCTGCCTCAACATACTTACCAGCAACACCATCAGAGAAATATACTTACCACTGGCTGTAGTGGGGTTCCTGGAAACATGAACTGCATTTGCTGTGCAAGCATAGCTGCTGCAGTTTTTTGTTGGATTAAGTTGTTCCTGCCATTGATTTCCAGTTGAGTTTTTAAATGCGTTGGTGGGTGAAGGTACTTGCAGTTCTCCCTTGTACAACGACCCTGGAAAAAGAAGTCACACTAATTGGTCTATTGCTTTTGATGATAGCTTATCGCCTTGGGCCAAAATATTACACCATAAGCTAAGCAAGAACTAATGAAATGCAGGGTGTTTCCTGGGAATGGTGTAGCGGGCTGGGAGGAGCTGACAGCCTTGAGTTCTGCCTCAGCTCACTACATCTGACTGACTGTTAGAGCTGTTAGCCATGAACCAAGGAGAAAGGCTTTGAAAACAGTTGATGGCACTTCCATTGTTAAGTACAAATCGCTGTGATACAATTAACAGTCTATTATCCAGGCTGCCTGAATTGCCTCTCTTGGATCTTGGCTACTGTATCATGTTATCATTAATATACCATGCTTTTCTAAATTACATCACAAATAACAACTTTAAATATTCCTTAAGAAAAATACAACTTTTAAGCACGTTACATATAGAAAAACCAACCATGTGACAACTTTCTGCTTGTGTTCTCCTGGACGTTCATGCTGAATTATAGTTCCCTGCCTTCTTGCCTCCTGTTTTTATTACATCAAGTACAACTTCGAACTATTTCCAGCTAAGTATAAAGGAACAGAAGTTGGCACTTCTGGAGCGTGGGGCTGTAGATAGTTAGTACCGACCACAGACGTACAGCAGGCAGCCACCTTTGAGATGGCTTGTGTTGGAGAAGATGGACATGGAGCACACCTCTACTGACCACATGCCAAAATGTAGGCAGAGCAGTGTAAGAAATGATACATTCTCCCCAGAAAAGGAAACAACGGGGTGCATCAGGGAGGCAGGACATACTAAGATCAGAGGCTCCCTGATGGCACAGCTCATAAACAGTCACAAAGTTTTAAGAGCTGTGAGCAGACGACCCAAAGCGTTAGTCAAACTGGATCTGACACACTCAACTTGTTGAAGACAACTTTCCAAATGGAGAAAGTGCTCCTTAAAACTTCTGTTCTCTGCTATGAATGTTTTAGAATTCTTAGCCAAAAGGAATACCCTCCTATAGCCACAGGAACATTTAGATCCCTGCAAGAGAACATTACACAGTACACACGTACTCTGACACTGCGTATGCACACATACTTTCCTACCAAACCACCAGTATGCTTTGGATGTCCCAGAACATCAGTATTAGGAGTTCAAGAAAGCTACGACTGCAGAATGCAAACAGCCAAGCCTCAGTGCCAAGGAACATCTCTTGGCACTGTTTTAATATGCTGATGTAGGTGAGGCCATTTTCAGCATGGTGTGCTCTTTCTTCTTACTTCTGCAGGTCACTAATTGTTGCTTTCAATCAAGCACACAAAAGGAAAGTTACTTTGTCCGAAGGCTGAAGCAGAAATGGAACAGTCACAGTTTGCCTTGGACACAGAAAAAGGTGCTTCCATTCATGGAGAAATAAGGCCATTGCCTTTCTCATGTTAAACAGGAGCATGTTTAACATGGGCAATGAGCATCTGCTTTTTTGTTGGCTGATGAGGATTTCCTGATTAAGGCATTTTTAAAGGAGACCTATTTAATTTTAATCTAATTTGTATGTAAATGGTTCATACGACAAATCTGAAAAATGAAAACAGCAAAACAAAATCAAGTAACTCTATCTGATGGAAATACCTACCTATGCAAATGAAAGTGATCCTCAATTAAGGAGCATAAGTAACTCTCAACTAGAGTGGCTTTTGAAGTACCTCAGTTCTGAAAAGAGCCTAAAGCCAGCCCTCTGCTATTGCTTCCAAAAGCACATAGCTAGCTTATGCTGGCACTTCCAGTTCAGCAAAGCAGCCCACAGTGCACAAAGGACTGGTTATTTCAGAAAACTTCCCAGAATAATCCAAACACATAAAAATGTGCTCTATTCTCATGAAGTTATCCATGTTTGTGCCTCATTTACTAGTTAGTGTTGTTTTGTTGGTTTTCTTTGAGCTCCTGGTTAGCAATGAACTTACTATAAAAGAGTTATGTGGTCCTGTCAGGCTGCTATAGAAAGCACTGTAAACAGATTGAGCCTTGTTAAAGTGAAATGACCCAAAATAAACCACAACTGAATGAGCACTGAAAATAGTGTGCAGATGAATCCAGTCCTAGCAACCCAAACCAAATGAATTCTGAGACCACCTTTCATTTGTTGGACTTTCAGTGGTTGGGGAAAAATGCTTATAAGCATTTTCATTTTTTTGCTGAGAAATGGTCCGTGTCCCTATGAGCTGCTGATGGCAATAGCAGAATTGGGCTGATTCCCAACAACTGATCAATTAAAGAATAAAAATTCAAACTTGTGGCATCAATCAGATGTGACCCCGGGTTTTTTATTTACTGAAAAGGCAAAACCAAAGTCCAACGGAAATGATAGTAACACATCAACCAAACAGCAGAGAATGCTAAATTATTCAACGTGTTGGGTCTACAATAAAGGCCCATTTGGATTCTTGAAGAAAAAATACTACAGTAGCAGGCTACCTCAAAACAAATACAGAGGCAAAATTGATTGCTTTGGCTTTGGGATGCATTGGTATCAAGCCTCTGGAGCAAGGCTTGATTCACCATGGCTCTTAAAATCACAGTAGCAAAGGTGCTGCTCCAGACTTGGTGGTGCACAGCAGCACAACCTCTGTTCAAATAACAGGGAAGGCAGCAGGGAAAATAATTGCTTAATACAACTTCTAATTTACTCCCACATATGAGTCAGAGTCCTGACACAGGGTGCAGACAGACTGGCTTGAAACTTAGTCCCCAGAAACTCCTTCCACCAATGAAGTGAAGGTTATCAAAACGCACATCACAACCTGTTCACCTTCCACGTGATTTCTTTACCAAAACTCACTCTCAATGAGCTGTCTCCTTATCTGTAATTGAGAGTAAATTGAGAGTAATGATGAATGGAGACCAGATGAAGTTCCCAGCACTCGCCCTGGAAGCCTGGCACCTGCCTGTGACCTCCCGTTTCTCTTACTTTGTTCTCTACAGCTGGCCTAGCCTAAAGCATTGGGCCATATTTCAGGCAGATAATGGAAAATTTTAGCAGAAACACTGCTTTTTCTACTGCTGATTATCCAGACTGGGGACATGCTGTGGCTTGCACCTGGGGCGTGCCACAGGTTTCATTCCAGCAGGAGGTGGGAGGCAGAAGGAATGCGTGCAATGAGCTGGGAACTCAAATGATGCCCAGTACCCAGGTGCTGCAACAAGGAGCCCTGTTTCCATGTGGGCAGTGCTCTTGTGAACTGCTGACTAGCCTGGCATCAAAACCACGTCCCTCTGTGAACTATGTCACACCACTGAATTATGGTACAGATGAATAGATTTCCCTACTAGGAGCAGTAGGTAGGTTGCCTAAAACCAGTGGCACAAGACAGTTCAAAGACTGGAATGCTGAGCTGCTGGAATGGGTCTATAGGAGATCCATGAAGACGATCGGAGGGCTGGAGCACCCCCCTACGAGGACAGGCTGAGAGAACTGGGGCTCTTCAGCCTGGAGGAGAAGGCTCAACGGAGACCTTATAGCAGCCTTCCAGTACCTGAAGGGGGCTACAGGAAATCTGGGGAGGGACTTTTTAAAATGACATGTAGAACAGGACAAAGGGAAATGGTTTTAAACTAGAAGAGGGTAGATTTAGACTAGATATTGTGAAGAAATAATTTACTGTGAGGGTGGTAAGACACTGGAACAGGTTGCCCAGAAAGGCTGTGAATGCACCCTCCCTGGAAGCATTCAAGGCCAGGCTGGATGGGGATTTGAGCAACCTGGTCTAGAGGGAGGTGTCCCTGCCATCATTCATGCATAATAATGAGTTAGTTTTTACTTATTAAAATTGCCCTTAATTTTCATAAAAATAAGATGTCTGAATTTTTTTATCAAACAAACAAACAGCAACAGTAAAATAATGTTTCTTTTTATCTTTTTAAGCTGAGGATCAACTAATTCATCAACAAGAATTTCACTCATCTGCCAAAGGCTGCTTTTAAGGCAGGAGTCAGCAGTACATATTCTTAGTACGCTTATTGTAAAGGTCCAGTGCTAATTGGACCACCTAGTCCAACCCTTCTGTAACAAACAGGGACACCTACAGCTAGATTGCTCAGAGCCCCATCCAGCCTAACCTTGAATGTCTCCAGGGATGGGGCATCCACCACCTTTCCAAGCAATCTGTTCACATCTGGACACAGTACTCCAGGTGAGGCCTCACCAGCATGGAGTAGAGGGGCAGGATCACCTCCTTTGCCCTGTTGACCACACTTCTTTTAATGCAGCCCAGGATATGGTTGACTTTCTGGGCTGCGAGAGCACATTGCTGGCTCATGTCCAGCTTGCCATTTCACCAGCACTCCCAAATCCTTTTCAGCAGGGCTGTTCTCCAGTCCTATATCCCCTAGCTTATACTGGTGGGGGTTGCTGCAACCCAAGTGCAAGACCTTGCACTTGGTTTTATTTTAACCTCATGAGATTCACCAGAGTTCACTGCCTGAATGATTTTGCATTCAAATACAAAGTCAGTGAAGGCAATCTATTGTCAATACTAGTGGGAACTAACAAGCGAGCCTCCCTTACCTCACACCACGATGTAATGCCCGAGTGAGACATCACGTTACATCCAGAAAATAGGTCACCTGATGAAGAGCAGGAAGAAAGAAGCCTGCTTCTTTGCTAAAGTCTGTCCTTCATTCCTATCCCCATTCCCTGAGGTACGCCCAGCTCCCAGACTCCTCCTGTACCCCATATCCCTCCTTCTCTCTTTCTTCTTCCCAGAGCACTTTCCCACCTCTCCTAACTATAAACCAGCAAACAAGTCACATAATAAATATAACTTGCTTGAGCTGTGCGTGTCCTCAACAGCCAGCCAAAATGTGCATGTGGTTGGCAGACCACACTCAGGAGTGGCTCAGTTCAGGCTGCAGCCTTTTCCTTAACTGGGCAGTAATTTGGATCTTTCTCTTCTACTCAGCACTGATTTTTGCATAAATAGTAAGATTTATTTTTTTATTATCAAGTCATATGTCTTTGAGACGT